GACGCAAACTCGTGTTGACGTCACACCAACACGCTGAGACTCACACGGCGTGTTGACGTCACACCACCGCACTGAGACACACACAGTGTTGACGTCACACCAACACACTGAGACTCGCACAGCGTGTTGACGTCACACCAACACACTGAGACTCGCACGGCGTGTTGACGTCACACCAACACACTGAGACTCACACAGCGTGTTGACGTCACACCAACACACTGAGACACACACAGCGTGTTGACGTCACACCAACACGCTGAGACTCACACAGCGTGTTGACGTCACACCAACACACTGAGACACACAGCGTGTTGACGTCACACCAACACGCTGAGACTCACACAGCGTGTTGACGTCACACCAACACACTGAGACTCGCACGGCGTGTTGACGTCACACCAACACACTGAGACTCGCACGGCGTGTTGACGTCACACCAACACACTGAGACTCGCACAGCGTGTTGACCTTAACACCAACACACTGAGACTCACACGGCGTGTTGACATCACACCAACACACTGAGACTCACACGGCGTGTTGACATCACACCAACACACTGAGACTCACACAGCGTGTTGACGTCACACCAACACACTGAGACTCACACGGCGTGTTGACGTCACACCAACACACTGAGACTCACACAGCGTGTTGACGTCACACCAACACACTGAGACTCACACGGCGTGTTGACATCACACCAACACACTGAGACTCACACGGCGTGTTGACATCACACCAACACACTGAGACTCGCACAGCGTGTTGACGTCACACCAACACGCTGAGACTCGCACAGCGTGTTGACGTCACACCAACACACTGAGACTCGCACAGCGTGTTGACGTCACACCAACACACTGAGACTCACACAGCGTGTTGATGTCACACCAACACACTGAGACTCACACAGCGTGTTGACGTCACACCAACACACTGAGACTCACACAGCGTGTTGACGTCACACCAACACGCTGAGACACACAGCGTGTTGACGTCACACCAACACGCTGAGACTCACACAGCGTGTTGACGTCACACCAACACGCTGAGACTCACACAGCGTGTTGACGTCACACCAACACGCTGAGACTCGCACGGCGTGTTGACGTCACACCAACACACTGAGACTCGCACGGCGTGTTGACGTCACACCAACACACTGAGACTCGCACGGCGTGTTGACGTCACACCAACACACAGACTCGCACGGCGTGTTGACGTCACACCAACACACTGAGACTCGCACAGCGTGTTGACGTCACACCAACACGCTGAGACTCACACAGCGTGTTGACGTCACACCAACACACTGAGACACACACCGTGTTGACGTCACACCAACACACTGAGACTCACACAGCGTGTTGACGTCACACCAACACACTGAGACACACACAGCGTGTTGACGTCACACCAACACACTGAGACTCGCACAGCGTGTTGACGTCACACCAACACACTGAGACACACACAGCGTGTTGACGTCACACCAACACACTGAGACTCACACAGCGTGCTGACGTCACACCAACACACTGAGACTCACACAGCGTGTTGACGTCACACCAACACACTGAGACTCGCACAGCGTGTTGACGTCACACCAACACGCTGAGACTCACACAGCGTGTTGACGTCACACCAACACACTGAGACTCGCACAGCGTGTTGACGTCACACCAACACACTGAGACACACACAGCGTGTTGACGTCACACCAACACGCTGAGACTCACACAGCGTGTTGACGTCACACCAACACACTGAGACTCACACGCGTGTTGACGTCACACCAACACGCTGAGACTCACACGGCGTGTTGACGTCACACCAACACACTGAGACTCACACAGCGTGTTGACGTCACACCAACACACTGAGACTCGCACAGCGTGTTGACGTCACACCAACACACTGAGACTCACACAGCGTGTTGACGTCACACCAACACACTGAGACTCACACAGCGTGTTGACGTCACACCAACACACTGAGACTCACACAGCATGTTGACGTCACACCAACACACTGAGACACACACAGCGTGTTGACGTCACACCAACACGCTGAGACTCACACAGCGTGTTGACGTCACACCAACACTGAGACTCACACGGTGTTGACGTCACACCAACACGCTGAGACTCACACGGCGTGTTGACGTCACACCAACACACTGAGACTCACACAGCGTGTTGACGTCACACCAACACACTGAGACTCGCACGGCGTGTTGACGTCACACCAACACACTGAGACTCACACAGCGTGTTGACGTCACACCAACACGCTGAGACTCACACGGCGTGTTGACGTCACACCAACACACTGAGACTCACACAGCGTGTTGACGTCACACCAACACACTGAGACTCACACAGCGTGTTGACGTCACACCAACACACTGAGACTCACACAGCGTGTTGACGTCACACCAACACGCTGAGACTCACACGGTGTTGACGTCACACCAACACACTGAGACTCACACAGCGTGTTGACGTCACACCAACACACTGAGACTCACACAGCGTGTTGACGTCACACCAACCACTGAGACTCGCACAGCGTGTTGACGTCACACCAACACACTGAGACTCCACAGCGTGTTGACGTCACACCAACACACTGAGACTCACACAGCGTGTTGACGTCACACCAACACACTGAGACTCACACAGCGTGTTGACGTCACACCAACACACTGAGACTCACACAGCGTGTTGACGTCACACCAACACTGAGACTCACACAGCGTGTTGACGTCACACCAACACACTGAGACTCACACAGCGTGTTGACGTCACACCAACACACTGAGACTCACACAGCGTGTTGACGTTGACATCACAAACCAACACCTGAGACTCGACACAGCGTGTTGACGTCACACCAACACACTGAGACTCACACAGCGTGTTGACGTCACACCAACACACTGAGACTCACACGGCGTGTTGACGTCCACACCAACACGCTGAGACTCGCACAGCGTGTTGACGTCACACCAACACACTGAGACTCGCACAGCGTGTTGACGTCACACCAACACACTGAGACTCGCACAGCGTGTTGACGTCACACCAACACGCTGAGACACACACAGCGTGTTGACGTCACACCAACACACTGAGACTCACACAGCGTGTTGACCGTCACACAGCGCACTGAGACTTGCACAGCGTGTTGACGTCACACCAACACACTGAGACTCGCACAGCGTGTTGACGTCACACCAACACACTGAGACTCGCACAGCGTGTTGACGTCACACCAACACGCTGAGACACACACAGCGTGTTGACGTCACACCAACACACTGAGACTCACACAGCGTGTTGACCGTCACAACAGCGCACTGAGACTCACACAGCGTGTTGACCGTCACACAGCGTGTTGACCGTCACACAGCGCACTGAGACTTGCACAGCGTGTTGACGTCACACCAACACACTGAGACTCACAGCGTGTTGACGTCACACCAACGCACTGAGACTCACACAGCGTGTTGACCGTCACACAGCGTGTTGACCGTCACACAGCGCACTGAGACTTGCACAGCGTGTTGACGTCACACCAACACACTGAGACTCACAGCGTGTTGACGTCACACCAACGCACTGAGACTCACACAGCGTGTTGACCGTCACACAGCGTGTTGACCGTCACACAGCGCACTGAGACTTGCACAGCGTGTTGACGTCACACCAACACACTGAGACTTGCACAGCGTGTTGGCCATTACACCACTCTGGCAGCTGCGTCCCTATTTAAAGCCAAGCGAACACCGGCCATCGGATGGATTTATCGTCGGATGGATTTGCCAAACCTCTGGGGGCACTCCCAGACTGCCCGTGCAAGATAATCGCGTGATTTTGTCACTTTCAGCAACTTTATTATTTCTTATCTGCGGTGGCGAGGAGATGTTAACTACCCTCGCCTGGTGTACAGGAGGTCGTGGGTTCCATCCCGACCCTGACGCCTGCTGCTGTATATTGGAGTTTGCGTGTCTCTCTCATCATCATCATCACGGTGGCTAGGAGATGTTAACTACCTCGCCTGATGTACAGAAGATCGTGGGTTCGATCCCGACCCTGACGGCTGCTGTATATTTGGGATTTGCGGTGTCTCTCTCTCCCCGTGTTGGCGTGGATTTTCCCCTCCGCAATGAAAATCATCGCCACGCGTTTGGAGTATGTTTAGTCCGACGATGACAATAAGCCACTCCGTAGAGCTGCGATCATTTGTGATGGCGGGTTGTCCGCTTCTGAAAAAGAGCGACGCAGATCAGTGTGTGGCCTTGCGTGGTATAATAAAATAATGATAGTTTACTTTAAAGTTTAGTATGACCTCTGTTGTGTAGCGGTCTCTATTGTGCAAGATAGGTCATATTATGACCTATTTTGTGCAGAGGTCATAATATGACCTCTATCCTGCAGAGGTCATAATATGACCTCTATCGTGCAGAGGTCATAATATGACCTCTATCCTGCAGAGGTCATAGTTTGACCTCTATCCTGCATAGGTGACAGTTTGACCTCTATCGTGCAGAGGTCATAATATGACCTCTATCGTGCAGAGGTCATAGTTTGACCTCTATCCTGCAGAGGTCATAGTTTGACCTCTATCCTGCAGAGGTCATAGCTTGACCTGTATCCTGCAGAGGTCATAGCTTGACCTGTATCCTGCAGAGGTCATAGTTTGACCTGTATCCTGCAGAGGTCATAGTTTGACCTCTATCCTGCAGAGGTCATAGTTTGACCTCTATCCTGCAGAGGTCATAGTTGACCTCTATCCTGCAGAGGTCATAGTTTGACCTGTATCGTGCAGAGGTCATAGTTGACCTGTATCCTGCAGAGGTCATAGTTTGACCTCTATCGTGCAGAGGAATGTTTCACGTTACCTCAGAACTAGTTCCCTGACGTCATTTGAATCTGCAGCCGTGGGCTGTTGCACCGTTGCGACCCCCTTTCTGCTGCCAGCGTATAGAAATGATCGTAGGTTTCACTCATTTTCTGGCAATAGAATCCGTTTCAAAGACACCGCACGTGTTGCCGGAGCATGTGCGTCTGGTGCATGCGGTTCGTGATTCCTTGCGCAAGGTTTGTATTTTGGTGTCGTGAACGTCTGAACTCACCTCCCGCGTTGTTGTTGTCGTTGTCAGGAACGGTGAAGCCGACCGTTAATTTTCATCCCAAGGTCGTTGCAGTTTGCGAGCTCACGTCCCTACGCCCCCCTGCGCTTACGTTGTATGGCTCCTGTCAGTAACAGCGGCAATAATTATTCCTTTATACTGGTAGGAACCTCCTGGTTACACCAGCCCACAGGGGATTATTGTGTCCTTCCATCCGTTCGTCGTGCATCCAAAATGGGAGGGGTGGGGCTGGGTGGAGAGGGGAGGGTGGGGAGGGGCTGGGTGGGTGGGGAGGTTGGGGAGGGGCTGGGTGGGGAGGGTGGGGCTGGGTGGGGAGGGTGGGGCTTTGTGGGGAGGGTGGGAGGGGTGGGGCTGGGTGGGGAGGGGAGGGGCTGGTCACCCCGTGGTGCCCTTATAAAACTCAATGTTTAACCTACTCACGCCAGGCTTGTGCCCGCCCTCACAGTCGGCCATATTTGCGGAATACACCACGTCGCCGTTGACCCTGGCCATTGACCGAGCAACCCAACGTTCCTACCAGCTCCCTCCGCAGGACAATGTGTTTTTAAACAATTTTTTAACCAACTAAACTCTTTTTACGAAGCTGAACTATTTATATTTTACGCACACGCAGCAGTGTAGCTCCTTTTTCAGAAGCGACCACCCGCAATCACAAATGATAGCAGCTCAACGGAGTGGGCTCATCATCGTCATCGTCATCATCGTCATCATCATCATCATCGTCATCATCATCATCGTCGTCGTCGTCGTCGTCATCGTGTGGACATTTACAATGTGGGAGAGCAAAAAGCCGGAGGACCCCGGAGAAAAATCCACGTAACACGGGGGGAGAGAGAGACACGCAAACTCCAAATATACAGCAGCAGGCGTCAGGGTCATGATCGAACCCACGACCTCCTGTAGACCAGGCGAGGTAGTCAACATCTCATAGCCACCGTGATGATGATGATGAGAGAGAGACACGCAAACTCCAAATATACAGCAGCAGCACGACCTCCTGTAGACCAGGCGAGGTTGTCAACATCTCATAGCCACCGTGATGATGATGATGAGAGAGAGACACGCAAACTCCAAATATACAGCAGCAGGCGTCAGGGTCATGATCGAACCCACGACCTCCTGTACACCAGGCGAGGTAGTTAACATATCCCAGCCACCGTGATGATGATGATGAGAGACACGCAAATTACAAATATACAGGGTCATGATCGAACCCACGACCTCCTGCATACCAGTCGAGGTGGTCAACATCTCCGAGCACACCGTCACGCCCCCCGAGTAGGAGAGGCTGCCTTACTAGGAGGGTGCTGCTACACTTTGGGCTCTTGACCGCGAATTTCGGTTCACGAGGAGCTCAGCTTCGTTTGGGAGAGAACCCCGAGAGAGAACCCAGCACCACACTGCATCTTGGATGAGGGGGGGAGGGGGGGGATATTCACTCGGGAGCTCCGCACAGATAGATTCAAGCTCCGATTTAAAGCTTTCGTGACTGCAGGGATTCATCTTCTTGGTTCTTTCAGTAAAGTCACGTAGAAGGGAATTAATAAAATAATAAAAATAAAACATAATAAAATAGCAAGCGCCATTATTTTATGATGTTTTATTTTTTATATTTTATTATTTCCCTCCTACGTGACTTTACCGAAAGAACCAAGAAGATTCAAGCTCGTCCGTTGCCGCAGTGCCGAGTCTCTGGCCGTCTTGGCAGCGCCGAGCCGAGCCTTCCAAGATTGCCGACGAATCCGTTGCTGGGGTTTTTTATTTTTTTAGGGAGAGACGGGATTGAATATATAGCGTGTGCGTGCATCCGTCTGTGTGCCCGTCTGTCTGACCGTGTGTGCTGCGGCTGATTTTGTGTTGTGCTGCACCCTGCGTGTGTCTGTGTGTGCTGCGGCTGATTTTGCGTTGTGCTGCACCCTGCGTGTGTCCGTGTGTCCCAGGTGCCCCTGCCGGCATTGTCACCGACCATGGCGAGCGGTACGATCACGCGCTGGGAGAAGAAGGAGGGCGACCGGATCGGTGAAGGGGAGCTCATCGCAGAGGTGCCCACTCCCTTCTTTTCTTTTTTTTTCCATTTTTTTCTTTCTTTTTTTTTTTCCATTTTCTTTTTTAACGATCAGACGAGAAAGATGCTCGGTCTTTCGGCACTTTTCTTCGTTCATCATGTCGTTGTTTGTATTTTTTTAATCACAGATATAACGCGGGTTTCCCGTGTAACATTAGTCCCATTGTGTGTTACTGTGTTCAGCAACAAGAAACACAAATCACCCTCAAAAACCCATCACCAGATCCCCTGCTGCTGCGGTACCAGCACCATAGCGGCGAAGGCACCTCCCCTCCCCTCCCTCCCTCCCTCCCTCCCTCCCTCCCTCCCTCCCTCCCTCCCTCCCTCCCTCCCTCCCTCCCCTCCCTCCCTCCCTCCTTCCCCTCCCTCCCTCCCTCCCTCCCTCCCTCCCTCCCTCCTTCCCCTCCCTCCCCTCCCTCCCTCCCCTCCCTCCCTCCCTCCCTCCCTCCCTCCCTCCTTCCCCTCCCTCCCCTCCCTCCCTCCCTCCCTCCCTCCCCCCTGTCTCGGACTGTGAGCGAACGGCAACGATTCGCTACGTGCGGTGCCAAACGAAGTTCAACGTGGCGCGCGTTCTTAATCGCATCATCCTTGTTGTTGTTATTAACGCGGCGCGCACACGCACAGCGGTGGGACCTTGACACATTCACAACGCCAGGTGGTGCGCCGCGGTGTCGTGCGCGGGTGCCGCCCACCCACCCCGTCGCGCGCCACTGCTGCTCACCAGCGGCGCTTAACCACCCCAGCAGCAGACTCGCTAGCGCTGCTGCAGTGTATCACCACCGGCGCTTGACCCCCCCAGCAGCAGACTCGCTAGCGCTGCTGCAGTGTATCACCAGCGGCGCTTGACCCCCATCAGACTGGGTAGCGCTGCGGCCTGCGGCGTATCACCACCAGCGCTTGCCCCCCAGCAAGGGTCTGTCGCGAGGCCTGCACGGGAGTGGCGGGGGGCGACCTTAGTCTGCTTGCGCGCGTGACGCAGGTGGAGACGGACAAGGCGACCGTGGGGTTCGAGAGCCAGGAGGAGGTCTACTTGGCCCGCATCCTGGTGCCGGAGGGCACCCGGGACGTGCCCATCGGAGCCATCATCTGCATCACCGTGGACAAGTGGGTTAGCCGCACGTCACCGTCACGTCACGTCACGTCACCGTCACGCCACGCCACGCCACGCCACCGCCACCGTCACGTCACGTCACCGTCACGTCACCGTCACCGTCACGGTCACGTCACCGTCACGGTCACGTCACCATCACGGTCACGTCACCGTCACCGTCACGTCACGTCACGTCACGTCAACGCCACGCCACCGTCACGTCACGTCACCGTCACCGTCACCGTCACGTCACGTCACGTCAACGCCACCGTCACGTCACGTCACCGTCACGTCACCGTCACCGTCACGGTCACGTCACCGTCACGGTCACGTCACCATCACGGTCACGTCACCGTCACGTCACGTCACGTCAACGCCACGCCACCGTCACGTCACCGTCACCGTCACGTCACCGTCACCGTCACGTCACGTCACCGTCATCGTCACGTCACCGTCACGTCACGTCACGTCACCGTCACGTCACGTCAACGCCACGCCACCGTCACGTCACCGTCACCGTCACGTCACCGTCACGTCACGTCACCGTCACCGTCACGTCACCGTCACCGTCACGTCACGTCACCGTCACCGTCACGTCACCCGTCACGTCACCGTCACCGTCACGTACGTCACGTCACGTCAACGCCACGCACCGTCACGTCACCGTCACCGTCACGTCACCGTCACGTCACGTCACCGTCACCGTCACGTCACCGTCACCGTCACGTCACGTCACGTCACGTCACGTCACCGTCACGTCACCGTCACCGTCACGTCACCGTCACGTCACGTCACGTCACGTCACCGTCACGTCACGTCACGTCACCGTCACGTCACGTCACGCCACGCCACCGTCACCGTCACGTCACGTCACGTCACGTCACGGCACGTCACGCCACCGTCACGTCACGTCACGTCACGTCACGCCATCGTCGCGTCACCGTCACGTCACGTCACGTCACCGTCACGTCACCGTCACGTCACCGTCACGTCACGTCACGTCACGTCACCGTCACGTCACCGTCACGTCACGTCACGTCGCGTCACCGTCACGTCACCGTCACGTCACCGTCACGTCACCGTCACGTCACGTCACCGTCACGTCACCGTCACGTCACCGTCGAGTCATCGCCGTCACGTCACCGCCACGTCACCGTCACGTTACCGTCACGTTACCGTCACGTCACCGTCACGTCACCGTCGAGTCATCGCCGTCACGTCACCGCCATGTCACCGTCACGTTACCGTCACGTTACCGTCGCGTCACCGTCACGTCACCGTCACGTCACCGTCACGTCACCGTCACGTCGCGTCACCGTCACGTCACCGTCACGTCACGTCACCGTCACGTCACCGTCACGTCACCGTCACGTCACCGTCGAGTCATCGCCGTCACGTCACCGCCACGTTACCGTCACGTTACCGTCACGTTACCGTCACGTCACCGTCACGTCACCGTCGAGTCATCGCCGTCACGTCACCGCCACGTCACCGCCACGTCACCGTCACGTTACCGTCACGTTACCGTCACGTCACCGTCACGTGACCGTCACGTAACCGTCGAGTCATCGCCGTCACGTCACCGCCACGTCACCGTCACGTTACCGTCACGTTACCGTCGCGTCACCGTCACGTTATCGTCACGTTACCGTCACGTCACCGTCACGTCACCGTCACGTTACCGTCGCGTCACCGTCACGTTACCGTCGCGTCACCGTCACGTTACCGTCGAGTCATCTCCGTCGCGTCACCGTCACGTTACCGTCACGTTACCGTCACGTTACCGTCACGTTACCGTCACGTCACCGTCACGTCACCGTCGAGTCATCGCCGTCGCGTCATCGCCGCATCGTCGTCATCGTTGTCATCGTTGTCGTCACCGTCGTCATCATCATCGTCACCGTCGTCATCATCATCATCACCGTCGTCATCATCGTCATCGTCGTCATTGTCATTGACAGAACAGCGTATCAACGGTGCAGTGCGTATCGACAGCGCAACGTATCTGTGGTGCAGTGTGTATCAACGGTGCAGTGTGTATCTGCGGTGCAGTGTGTATCAACGGTGCAGTGTGTATCTGCGGTGCAGTGTGTATCTGCGGTGCAGTGCGTATCTGCGGTGCAGTGCGTATCTGCGGTGCAGCGTATCAACGGTGCAGTGTGTATCAACGGTGCAGTGTGTATCTGCGGTGCAGTGTGTATCAACGATGCAGTGTGTATCAACGGTGCAGTGTGTATCAACGGTGCAGTGTGTATCTGCGGTGCAGTGTGTATCTGCGGTGCAGTGTGTATCAACGGTGCAGTGTATCTGCGGTGCAGTGTGTATCTGCGGTGCAGTGTGTATCTGCGGTGCAGTGTGTATCAACGGTGCAGTGTGTATCTGCGGTGCAGTGTGTATCAACGGTGCAGTGTGTATCAACGGTGCAGTGTGTATCAACGGTGCAGTGTGTATCAACGGTGCAGTGTGTATCTGTTGTGCAGTGTGTATCTGCGGTGCAGTGTGTATCTGCGGTGCAGTGTGTATCAGCGGTGCAGTGTGTATCTGTGGTGCAGTGTGTATCAACGGTGCAGTGTGTATCTGCTGTGCAGTGTGTATCAACGGTGCAGTGTGTATCTGCGGTTCAGTGTGTATCTGCGGTTCAGTGTGTATCTGCGGTGCAGTGTGTATCTGCGGTGCAGCGTATCTGCGGTGCAGTGTGTATCTGCGGTGCAGTGTGTATCTGCGGTGCAGTGTGTATCTGCGGTGCAGCGTATCTGCGGTGCAGTGTGTATCAACAGTGCAGTGTGTATCTGCGATGCAGCATATCAACGGTGCAGTGTGTATCTGCGATGCAGCGTATCAACGGTGCAGTGTGTATCTGCGATGCAGCATATCAACGGTGCAGTGTGTATCTGCGATGCAGCATATCAACGGTGCAGTGTGTATCTGCGATGCAGCGTATCAACGGTGCAGTGTGTATCAACGGTGCAGTGTGTATCTGCGGTGCAGTGTGTATCAACGGTGCAGTGTGTATCAACGGTGCAGTGTGTATCTGCGGTGCAGTGTGTATCTGCGGTGCAGTGTGTATCTGCGGTGCAGTGTGTATTAACGGTGCAGTGTGTATCAGCGGTGCAGTGTGTATCTGCGGTGCAGTGTGTATTAACGGTGCAGTGTGTATCTGCGGTGCAGTGTGTATCTGCGGTGCAGTGTGTATCTGCGGTGCAGTGTGTATCAGCGGTGCAGTGTGTATCTGCGGTGCAGTGCGTATCTGTGGTGCAGTGTGTATCTGCGGTGCAGTGTGTATCTACCGTGCAGTGTGTATCAACGGTGCAGTGTGTATCTGCGATGCAGCATATCAACGGTGCAGTGTGTATCTGCGATGCAGCGTATCAACGGTGCAGTGTGTATCAACGGTGCAGTGTGTATCTGCGGTGCAGTGTGTATCAACGGTGCAGTGTGTATCAACGGTGCAGTGTGTATCTGCGGTGCAGTGTGTATCTGCGGTGCAGTGTGTATCTGCGGTGCAGTGTGTATTAACGGTGCAGTGTGTATCAGCGGTGCAGTGTGTATCTGCGGTGCAGTGTGTATTAACGGTGCAGTGTGTATCTGCGGTGCAGTGTGTATCTGCGGTGCAGTGTGTATCAACGGTGCAGTGTGTATTAATGGTGCAGTGTGTATCAACGGTGCAGTGTGTATCTGCGGTGCAGTGTGTATCTACGGTGCAGTGTGTATCAACGGTGCAGTGTGTATCTGCGGTGCAGTGTGTATCAACGGTGCAGTGTGTATCTGCGGTGCAGTGTGTATCTGCGGTGCAGTGTGTATCTGCGGTGCAGTGTGTATTAACGGTGCAGTGTGTATCAGCGGTGCAGTGTGTATCTGCGGTGCAGTGTGTATTAACGGTGCAGTGTGTATCTGCGGTGCAGTGTGTATCTGCGGTGCAGTGTGTATCTGCGGTGCAGTGTGTATCAGCGGTGCAGTGTGTATCTGCGGTGCAGTGCGTATCTGTGGTGCAGTGTGTATCTGCGGTGCAGTGTGTATCTACCGTGCAGTGTGTATCAACGGTGCAGTGTGTATCTGCGATGCAGCATATCAACGGTGCAGTGTGTATCTGCGATGCAGCGTATCAACGGTGCAGTGTGTATCAACGGTGCAGTGTGTATCAACGGTGCAGTGTGTATCTGCGGTGCAGTGTGTATCAACGGTGCAGTGTGTATCAACGGTGCAGTGTGTATCTGCGGTGCAGTGTGTATCTGCGGTGCAGTGTGTATCTGCGGTGCAGTGTGTATTAACGGTGCAGTGTGTATCAGCGGTGCAGTGTGTATCTGCGGTGCAGTGTGTATTAACGGTGCAGTGTGTATCTGCGGTGCAGTGTGTATCTGCGGTGCAGTGTGTATCAACGGTGCAGTGTGTATTAATGGTGCAGTGTGTATCAACGGTGCAGTGTGTATTAATGGTGCAGTGTGTATCAACGGTGCAGTGTGTATCTGCGGTGCAGTGTGTATCTACGGTGCAGTGTGTATCAACGGTGCAGTGTGTATCTGCGGTGCAGTGTGTATCAACGGTGCAGTGTGTATCTGCGGTGCAGTGTGTATCAACGGTGCAGTGTGTATCTGCGGTGCAGTGTTTATCTGCGGTGCAGTGTATCGGTATTGCAACGTCGTCGTTATGCCTGCTCCCCCCCCGCCCCCCTCAGGCAGGAGAACATTGCGGCCTTCAAGGACTACAAGCTGGACTCGGCCTCCCCAGCGCCCGCCCAGCCCGGGGCCCCGGAACCCCCCGCGGCGGCCCCCCGCCCCACCGCCCGCTCAGCCCGCCGGGGCCTCCAAGGCCTACCCACCCTTCATGAAGGTGGGGGGCGCGGGGGGGGGGGGACCAGTCCCGAGCAGTAGCGAGCTGGCACGGCCGCCCTGGTTGATGCTAAAACTAAAGTTTTATCTCGATTTAAAGCTTTCGTGACTGCAGGGATTCATCTTCTTTCTATATTTGAAGCTTTCGTGACTGCAATGATTCATATTCTTAGGTTTTTTCGGTAAAGTCACGTAGGTAAAAATATTAAAAAGTAAAATAAAATAAAAATCACGACGTTTCGGAGGCAACACAAGCTTCCGTCTTCAGGTGGAACCGTCACAGCCACGACAGCTGTATCAAGTAAATGAGAGATTGCAGGAGCTACCACTCCGTTTATACCTTCTACAACCATTATATAAACGGAGTGGTAGCTACTGCAATCTCTCATTTACTTGATACAGCTGTCGTGGCTGTGACGGTTCCACCTGAAGACGGAAGCTTGTGTTGCCTCCGAAACGTCGTGATTTTTATTTTATTTTACTTTTTAATGTTTTTACCTACGTGACTTTACCGAAAAAACCTAAGAATATTCATCTTCTTGGTTCTTTCGGTAAAGTCATCACGTAGAAGGGAAGTAATAAAATAATAAAAATAAAACATAATAAAATAATTCTCACGACGTTTCGGCCACAACGCAAGCAGCCGTCTTCAGGTGGAGAACAGGTCTGTCGAGGCGACAGCGTCTGAATGAAAAAAAAAACATTCAGACGCTGTCGCCTCGACAGACCTGGTTTTCACCTGAGGACGGCTGCTTGCGTTGTGGCCGAAACGTCGTGAGAATTATTTTATTATGTTTTATTTTTATTATTCTATTACTTCCCTTCTACGTCGTGACTTTACCGAAAGAACCAAGAAGATAAACTTTTATCATTTGTATTTTTACCGTGTAGCTCGTCTTCACAGATGTCCAGTAGAGGGGGCACTTGGTCAGAAAGTTACAACAGCAACAACAACGCAATGCAAAATAAGTAATATTTAAAAATACCTTTTTTAGAAACACGCTTTAATGAAATGCACCGTACTAGTAATGGCAAAACTCCACGACTCCAGGAAGTGACCCCGAAGCTTGCCATGACGTCAGGGACCGTGGTGATTGACAGCCAACGTGAGTTGAGCGTGGACAATTAGACCCAAGCCGAAACATACCATATAAAAAATAATGTTTAAAAATACTTTTTTTATTTTTATGATATAATATAGTATTGTCATCAGTATGACATAAGTATAACCAAGTTTACTGTCGATACCACATTGGGAAGTGGGTTAAAATTGAGTTACAAGATTTGAGGATACAACAACGACAACAACAACGACAACAACAACGACAACAACGACGCTGTCTCCCCGACAGACCTGTTCTCCACCTGAGGACGGCTGCTTGCGTTGTGGCCGAAACGTCGTGAGAATTATTTTATTATTTTATGATGTTTTATTTTTATTATTTTATTATTTCCATTCTACGTGACTTTACCGAAAGAACCAAGAAGATGAATCCCTGCAGTCACGAAAGCTTTACATCGAAAATTAAAAGAATGCGTGGTAAAAATTTACCTCCTTTGCATACCTGTCGAGGTAGTTAACATCGTAAACTATTTATATTTTGTGCCAGCTAAGGGCCACACTGAGCTACGACTCTGACCATCGCAAATGATGGCTCAACCAAGTGGCTTTTCACCATCGTCATCATCGCGTGGAAATGCATAGCGGCCAAACGCTCTACACGCGTGGCGATGTTCATTCTAAACGTGGAGGGAAAAACCGGAGGAAAATCCACGCGACCACGGGGAGAGGCAAATGCGAGGTAGTCAACATCTCCTAGCCACCGTGATGATGGTGATGAGAGAGAGAGACACGCACACTCCAAATATACAGCAGCAGCAGGCATCGTCAGGGTCGGGATGGAACCCACGACCTCCTGCGTACCAGGCAAGGTAGTTAACATCTCCTAGCCATCGTGATGATGATGAGAGAGAGAGACACGCAAACTCCAAATATACAGCAGCAGGCGTCAGGGTCGGGATGGAACCCACGACCTCCTGTATACCAGGCGAGGTAGTTAACATGTCGCCACCGCGATCCTGGCTGATGATGATGATGAAGTTGTAGGTTTGACAGACGCGTGTGTCCGTGTGTACGATCGTGACCAACGATGATGACGGTGACGACGATGAAGTGGTAGGTTTGACGCACACACGCGCGTGCCGTGTGTGTGATCATGATCAATGATGATGACGACGATGAAGTGGTAGGTTTGACGCACGCAACACGCGCGTGCCGTGTGTGTGATCATGATCAATGATGATGACGACGATGAAGTGGTAGGTTTGACGCACGCAACACGCGCGTGCCCGTGCCCGTGCGTAGATCACCCTGCCGGCGCTGTCGCCCACCATGGCGATGGGCACCATCCAGCGCTGGGAAAAGAAGGTTGGGGACAAGCTGAGCGAGGGAGACCTCCTGGCCGAGATCGAGACCGACAAAGCCACCATCGGTGAGCGGGCGCGGCGGTGGGGGGGGGCGGGAGGAGTGGGGGGGGGCGGGGGGGAGGAGTGGGGCGGGTGGTGGGGGCGGGGGTTGGGGTAGGGGGGGCAGGGGGGGGGGGCGGTCCCGGTCATAAGAGCTGCTGGTGGCTGGCTCAGTGTGTGGTGGTGATGATTATGGTGGTGTTGTTGTATGTGTGGTGATGATGATGATGATGGTGGTGTGTGTGTGTGGTGATGATTATGGTGGTGTTGTTGTATGTGTGGTGATGATGATGATGATGGTGGTGTGTGTGTGTGGTGATGATTATGGTGGTGTTGTTGTATGTGTGGTGATGATGATGATGATGGTGGTGTGTGTGTGTGGTGATGATTATGGTGGTGTTGTTGTATGTGTGGTGATGATGATGATGGTGGTGTGTGTGTGTGTGGTGATGATTATGGTGGTGTTGTTGTATGTGTGGTGATGATGATGATGATGGTGGTGTGTGTGTGTGGTGATGATTATGGTGCTGTTGTTGTATGTGTGGTGATGATGATGATGATGGTGGTGTGTGTGTGTGGTGATGATTATGGTGGTGTTGTTGTATGTGTGGTGATGATGATGATGATGGTGGTGTGTGTGTGTGGTGATGATTATGGTGCTGTTGTTGTATGTGTGGTGATGATGGTGTTGCTGTGTGTGCGGTGGTGATGCCGGTGGCCGTCTCCCCCCACGTGTCTCCCCGCGTCTCCCCCCCCCGCGTCTCCCCCCCCCCCCCGCGTCTCCCCCGCCAGGCTTCGAGGTGATGGAGGAGGGCTTCCTCGCCAAGATCCTCGTCGCCGACGGGACGCGCGACGTCCCCATCGGCGCGCCGCTCTGCATCGTGGTGGAGCGTGAGCAGGACGTCGCGCTCTTCAACGACTACGTGGAGGCCGGCGCCGACGCCACCGCGCCAGCCAAGGTGTGTGCCGTGGTGGTGGTGGTGGTGGTGTGTGCCGTGGTGGTGGTGGTGGTGGTGTGTGCCGTGGTGGTGGTGGTGTGTGTGTGCCGTGGTGGTGGTGGTGGTGTGTGTGCGGTGGTGGTGGTGGTGGTGTGTGTGTGCCGTGGTGGTGTGTGCGGTGGTGGTGTTGTGTGTGGTGGTGGTGTTGTGTGTGTGGTGGTGGTGGTGGTGTGTGCGGTGGTGGTGGTGTGTGTGTGTGCGGTGGTGGTGCTGTGTGTGTGTGGTGGCGTTGGTGTGTGCGGTGGTGGTGTTGTGTGTGGTGGTGGTGTTGTGTGCGGTGGTGTTGTGTGTGTGGTGGTGGTGGTGGTGTGTGTGTGTGTGTGCGGTGGTGGTGGTGGTGTGTGTGTGCGGTGGTGGTGCTGTGTGTGTGGTGGTGGTGGTGTGTGCGGTGGTGGTGTGTGTGTGCGGTGGTGGTGCTGTGTGTGTGTGTGGTGTTGATAGTGGTGCCACTACTGCTACTGCTGCTGGTGCTGCTAAGTAAATTAAATGTTGTGATCTCCCGCCTCTGATCATTTTCCGATCGCCCCTCCCCCCCCCTCCACCCCCCCCCCCTCCACCGCCCCCCCCCGCCCCCCCCTCCCCGCCCCCCACACTCGTGCACAATGCTCCACAGGTGGAGCCAGCGGCCCCCCCCCCACTCCGCAGCGGCCCCCACCCTGGCTCAGCCCCCTCCCCCCTCCCCGGCGGCCCCCCTCGGCGTGGGGGGGGCGGCCGCCCCGTCCCGCGGTCTTCGCCAGCCCCCTCGCCCGCAAGCTGGCCGCGGACAGGGGCCTCAACCTCGCCACCCTCAAAGGTCGGAGGGGTCGGGGGGTGGGGGGCCGGGTGGGGGTGGGGGTCAAAAGGTCGTGGTGGCGTTGCGGGCCTTTGGTTTGCTGCCCCCAGCGAGCGTGGAGCCGCGTGCTCGTAACCGGCCCTGCCGGAGGCAATGATCGGTGCAACCACATCGATGTCGACCCCACACGGTTCACTCCGTGTTCGTGTGTACGGGGACATTGAGTTTTCAGGTCCTTACGGCGTACGGCCGTTTCAACGTGGGCACACAAAAATAATGTCGTGTCTAAATTTAAATTTAAAGCTTTCGTGACTGCAGGGATTCATCTTCTTGGTTCTTTCGGTAAAGTCACGTAGAAGGGAAATAATAAAATAATAAAAATTAAACTAATATACTAATATAATATAATGACTTTATTATGTTTAACTTTTATTATTTTATTATTTCCATTCTACGTGACTTTACCGAAAGAACCAAAAAAATGTCGTGTCTATTTGTGTTTCTCTCTTGTGGTGATGGAACTTTGTGGGATGAACGTTGAGATGTATAAGGGACACGGACGGGGTGACCAATAAGGTCTGGATTGGTCCGTGATAGGGTCGGGCGCTGACAAGGGGTGTGCACGCACGGTGCGGAAGGAGGTCGACGCAGACAAAACCGCGCCAATCCGCGGGTCTGCCCGACCGACAGAGCCACCATTTTGTCCGGTGCGGCCGCTCACCGCCGTGCAGTTTGCAAGGCCGGCGAAGCGCGAGGGGCTTGGTGCTCGGGACGCCACGCCGGGGGGGGGGGGGGGGTGTGAACAAAAAAAGGCAAAGATCCCCCGTGTAGCCTTAACAGACTGTTGGGGCAAGTGCTGTTGGCGAGTAGCACTTATTGAGGCCAACAAACAAGCACCACCACCGGACGCGGGAGCATGAGCGCCGTTTGGCACTCCGGCGCGAGTGTTGACACGTACGCACGTACGTCTGTACGTATGTATGCGTGCGTACGTCTGTACGTATGTATGCGTATTTGCGTACGTCTGTACGTATGTACGCGTATTTGCGTACGTCTGTACGTATGCGTGCGTACGCATGTACGTCTGCGCATGTACATATGTGCGTGCGTACGCACGTACGTATGTACGCGTGCGCACGTACGTATGTACACGTGCGCACGCACGTATGTACGCGTGCGTATGTGTGTGTGTTGAATTTCTTTTGCAACGTACACGTAGCCAGCGGTGCTAAATGGGAGTTGCGGGGGGGGGGGTGGAAGAACAACGAACCGAAGAAATGAGTTTTCAATTGATCATCGGGGTGTAGTGTAGCGTATAGTTACATAGTGTAGCGTGTAGTGTATAGTGGTGTAGTGTACAGTGTTGTGTGTAGTGTAGTCTATAGTAATATTGTGTGGTGTATAATGCAGTGTATAGTAGTACAGTTTATAGTAGTGCATAGTGTCGTGTATAGCGCAGTGTATAGTTTAGACTTTAGGCGATAGTAGTGTAGTATATATTGCAGTGCACTGTATTGTAATGTGCACCAGCAGTGTGTAGTAGTGTATGGGGTAGTGCACCAGCAGTGTGTAGTAGTGTATGGGGTAGTGCACCAGCAGTGTGTAGTAGTGCACGGTGTAGTGCACCAGCAGTGTGTAGTAGTGCACGGTGTAGTGCACCAGCAGTGTGTGGTAGTGTACGGTGTAGTGCACCAGCAGTGTGTAGTAGTGCACGGTGTAGTGCACCAGCAGTGTGTAGTAGTGCACGGTGTAGTGCACCAGCAGTGTGTAGTAGTGTACGGGGTAGTGCACCAGCAGTGTGTGGTAGTGTACGGTGTAGTGCACCAGCAGTGTGTAGTAGTGCACAGTGTAGTGCACCAGCAGTGTGTAGTAGTGCACGGTGTAGTGCACCAGCAGTGTGTGGTAGTGTACGGTGTAGTGCACCAGCAGTGTGTGGTAGTGTACGGTGTAGTGCACCAGCAGTGTGTAGTAGTGCACGGGGTAGTGCACCAGCAGTGTGTAGTAGTGCACGGGGTAGTGCACCAGCAGTGTGTAGTAGTGCACGGTGTAGTGCACCAGCAGTGTGTAGTAGTGCACGGGGTAGTGCACCAGCAGTGTGTAGTAGTGCACGGTGTAGTGCACCAGCAGTGTGTAGTAGTGTACGGTGTAGTGCACCAGCAGTGTGTAGTAGCGTACGGTGTAGTGCACCAGCAGTGTGTAGTAGTGCACGGGGTAGTGCACCAGCAGTGTGTAGTAGTGTACGGGGTAGTGCACCAGCAGTGTGTAGTAGTGTATGGGGTAGTGCACCAGCAGTGTGTAGTAGTGCACGGTGTAGTGCACCAGCAGTGTGTAGTAGTGCACGGTGTAGTGCACCAGCAGTGTGTAGTAGTGCACGGTGTAGTGCACCAGCAGTGTGTAGTAGTGTACGGTGTAGTGCACCAGCAGTGTGTAGTAGTGCACGGGGTAGTGCACCAGCAGTGTGTAATAGTGTACGGTGTAGTGCACCAGCAGTGTGTAGTAGTGCACGGTGTAGTGCACCAGCAGTGTGTGGTAGTGTACGGTGTAGTGCACCAGCAGTGTGTAGTAGTGCATGGTGTAGTGCACCAGCAGTGTGTAGTAGTGTACGGTGTAGTGCACCAGCAGTGTGTGGTAGTGTACGGTGTAGTGCACCAGCAGTGTGTGGTAGTGCACGGTGTAGTGCACCAGCAGTGTGTAGTAGTGCACGGTGTAGTGCACCAGCAGTGTGTAGTAGTGCACGGTGTAGTGCACCAGCAGTGTGTAGTAGTGTACGGGGTAGTGCACCAGCAGTGTGTGGTAGTGTACGGTGTAGTGCACCAGCAGTGTGTAGTAGTGCACAGTGTAGTGCACCAGCAGTGTGTAGTAGTGCACGGTGTAGTGCACCAGCAGTGTGTGGTAGTGTACGGTGTAGTGCACCAGCAGTGTGTGGTAGTGTACGGTTGTAGTGCACCAGCAGTGTGTAGTAGTGCACGGGGTAGTGCACCAGCAGTGTGTAGTAGTGCACGGGGTAGTGCACCAGCAGTGTGTAGTAGTGCACGGTGTAGTGCACCAGCAGTGTGTAGTAGTGCACGGTGTAGTGCACCAGCAGTGTGTAGTAGTGTACGGTGTAGTGCACCAGCAGTGTGTAGTAGTGCACGGGGTAGTGCACCAGCAGTATGTAGTAGTGTGCGGTGTAGTGCACCAGCAGTGTGTAGTAGTGCACGGTGTAGTGCACCAGCAGTGTGTAGTAGTGTATGGGTAGTGCACCAGCAGTGTGTAGTAGTGCACGGGGTAGTGCACCAGCAGTGTGTAGTAGTGTACGGTGTAGTGCACCAGCAGTGTGTAGTAGTGTACGGTGTAGTGCACCAGCAGTGTGTAGTAGTGCACGGTGTAGTGCACCAGCAGTGTGTAGTAGTGCACGGGGTAGTGCACCAGCAGTGTGTAGTAGTGTACGGTGTAGTGCACCAGCAGTGTTTAGTAGTATACGGTTGTAGTGCACCAGCAGTATGTAGTAGTGCACGGTGTAGTGCACCAGCAAGTGTGTAGTAGTGTACGGTGTAGTGCACCAGCAGTGTGTAGTAGTGCACGGGGTAGTGCACCAGCAGTGTGTAGTAGTGTACGGTGTAGTGCACCAGCAGTGTGTAGTAGTGCACGGGGTAGTGCACCAGCAGTGTGTAGTAGTGCACGGTGTAGTGCACCAGCAGTGTGTAGTAGTGTACTGGGTAGTGCACCAGCAGTGTGTAGTAGTGCACGGTGTAGTGCACCAGCATTGTGTAGTAGTGCACGGTGTAGTGCACCAGCAGTGTGTAGTAGTGTACTGGGTAGTGCACCAGCAGTGTGTAGTAGTGCACGGGGTAGTGCACCAGCAGTGTGTAGTAGTGTACGGTGTAGTGCACCAGCAGTGTGTAGTAGTGCACGGGGTAGTGCACCAGCAGTGTGTAGTAGTGCACGGTGTAGTGCACCAGCAGTGTGTAGTAGTGCACGGGGTAGTGCACCAGCAGTATGTAGTAGTGTACGGTGTAGTGCACCAGCAGTGTGTAGTAGTGCACGGTGTAGTGCACCAGCAGTGTGTAGTAGTGTATGGGGTAGTGCACCAGCAGTGTGTAGTAGTGTACGGTGTAGTGCACCAGCAGTGTGTAGTAGTGCACGGGGTAGTGCACCAGCAGTATGTAGTAGTGTACGGTGTAGTGCACCAGCAGTGTGTAGTAGTGCACGGTGTAGTGAACCAGCAGTGTGTAGTAGTGTATGGGGTAGTGCACCAGCAGTGTGTAGTAGTGCACGGGGTAGTGCACCAGCAGTGTGTAGTAGTGTACGGTGTAGTGCACCAGCAGTGTGTAGTAGTGCACGGGGTAGTGCACCAGCAGTGTGTAGTAGTGTACGGTGTAGTGCACCAGCAGTGTGTAGTAGTGCACGGGGTAGTGCACCAGCAGTGTGTAGTAGTGTACGGTGTAGTGCACCAGCAGCGTGTAGTAGTGCACGGGGTAGTGCACCAGCAGTGTGTAGTAGTGCACGGTGTAGTGCACCACCAGTGTGTAGTAGTGTACTGGGTAGTGCACCAGCAGTGTGTAGTAGTGCACGGGGTAGTGCACCAGCAGTGTGTAGTAGTGTACGGTGTAGTGCACCAGCAGTGTGTAGTAGTGCACGGGGTAGTGCACCAGCAGTATGTAGTAGTGCACGGTGTAGTGCACCAGCAGTGTGTAGTAGTGCACGGGGTAGTGCACCAGCAGTGTGTAGTAGTGTACGGGGTAGTGCACCAGCAGTGTGTAGTAGTGTACGGTGTAGTGCACCAGCAGTGTGTAGTAGTGTACGGTGTAGTGCACCAGCAGTGTGTAGTAGTGCACGGTGTAGTGCACCAGCAGTGTGTAGTAGTGTACGGTGTAGTGCACCAGCAGTGTGTAGTAGTGCACGGGGTAGTGCACCAGCATATGTAGTAGTGTACGGTGTAGTGCACCAGCAGTGTGTAGTAGTGCACGGTTGTAGTGCACCAGCAGTGTGTAGTAGTGTATGGGGTAGTGCACCAGCAGTGTGTAGTAGTGCACGGGGTAGGGCACCAGCAGTGTGTAGTAGTGTACGGTGTAGTGCACCAGCAGTGTGTAGTAGTGCACGGGGGTAGTGCACCAGCAGTGTGTAGTAGTGTACGGTGTAGTGCACCAGCAGTGTGTAGTAGTGTACGTGTACGGTGTAGTGCACCAGCAGTGTGTAGTAGTGTACGTGTAGTGCACCAGCAGTGTGTAGTAGTGCACGGGGTAGTGCACCAGCAGTGTTTAGTAGTGTACGGTGTAGTGCACCAGCAGTGTGTAGTAGTGCACGGGGTAGTGCACCAGCAGTGTGTAGTAGTGTACGGTGTAGTGCACCAGCAGTGTGTAGTAGTGTACGGGGTAGTGCACCAGCAGTGTGTAGTAGTGCACGGGGTAGTGCACCAGCAGTGTGTAGTAGTGTACGGTGTAGTGCACCAGCAGTGTGTAGTAGTGTACGGTGTAGTGCACCAGCAGTGTGTAGTAGTGCACGGTGTGGTGCACCAGCAGTGTGTAGTAGTGTACGGTGTAGTGCACCAGCAGTGTGTAGTAGTGCACGGTGTAGTGCACCAGCAGTGTGTAGTAGTGTACGGTGTAGTGCACCAGCAGTGTGTAGTAGTGTACGGTGTAGTGCACCAGCAGTGTGTAGTAGTGTACGGTGTAGTGCACCAGCAGTGTGTAGTAGTGCACGGGTAGTGCACCAGCAGTGTGTAGTAGTGTACGGGGTAGTGCACCAGCAGTGTGTAGTAGTGCACGGGGTAGTGCACCAGCAGTGTGTAGTAGTGCACGGTGTAGTGCACCAGCAGTGTGTAGTAGTGCACGGGGTAGTGCACCAGCAGTGTGTAGTAGTGTACGGGGTAGTGCACCAGCAGTGTGTAGTAGTGCACGGGGTAGTGCACGGTGCGTAGCCAGCCAGGCTCACCGGGGTGCCGGGTGTCCGCAGGGACGGGGCCGGAGGGCCGAGTGACGAAACACGACGTGGAGACGTTCGTGCCGCCAGCCACGACAACTCCCACCGTGAGCCACCCGGTGCATCACCCCCACCAGCACCACAACCACCACCACAACCACAACCACCCACCACAACCACCCACCACAACCACCCCCACCGCCATCACCACCACAACCACCCCCACCGCCATCACCACCACCACCGTCACCGCCACCACCGCCACCACCACCCCCACCACCACCACCACCGCCACAACCACCACTGCCACCACCACCGCCACCTCCACCAACGCCACCACCATCACTGCCACCACGACCACCGCCACCACCACCACCATCACTACCATCACCACCACCACCTCCACCACCACCGCCTCCAACCCCACCACCACAACCACCACCACCACCACCACCGCCTCCAACCCCACCACCACAACCACCACCACCATCACCGCCACCGTCACTGCCACCACCACCACCGCCACCACCACCACCACTGCCACCACCACCGCCACAACCACTGCCACCTCCACCAACGCCACGACCATCACTGCCACCACGACCACCGCCACCGCCACCACCATCACCACCATCACCACCACCACCTCCACCACCACCGCCTCCAACCCCACCACCGCCATCACCGCCACCACCACCGTCACTGCCACCACCGCCACCGCCACCACCGCCACCACCACCACCGCCACCTACACCACCCCCACCACCTCCACCGTCACTGCCGGGCGTGGTGCTGGCCACCCACCTCCTCGTGTGCCACAGTGCCGGTAGCCTTCGTAGGTGCTGTCGCCAACAGCACTTGCCCCACCAGTCTGTTATGGCCACACGGGGGATCTTTGTCTCTGTCCTGTGTGCAGGCCGCAACGGTCGCGCCCCCGGCCGCCCCTCGCCCCGCCCCCACGACGCCGGCCGCCCCCCTCGCCGGAGACTTTGTGGACATCCCCGTCACCAACGTGCGCAAGGTGCGGGGGAGGGTGAGGGGAGGGGGGGGAGGGGGGAAGGGAGAGGGGAGGGGGGGGGGAGGGAGAGGGGGAGGGAGAGGGGAGGGGAAGGGTGAGGGGAGGGGGGGGAGGGGAGGGGGAGGGAGGGGAGGGAGAGGGGAGGGGGAGGTGGGGGGAGGGGAGGAAGAGGGGAGGGGGAGGAAGAGGGGAGGGGGAGGGGAGGGAGAGGGGAGGGGGAGGGGGGGGAGGGGAGGAAGAGGGGAGGGGGAGGAGGGGAGGGGCGACGCCGGACCGCCGGCGTTACGCCGATGCCGACACCACGCCGTAGAGACCCATAGACTCACACAGAGACCCATAGACTCACACAGAGACCCATAGACTCACACAGAGACCCATAGACTCACACAGAGACCCATAGACTCACACAGAGACCCATAGACTCACACAGAGACCCATAGACTCGCGTAGAGACCCATAGACTCACACAGAGACCCATAGACTCGCGTAGAGACCCATAGACTCGCACAGAGACCCATAGACTCGCGTAGAGACCCATAGACTCGCGTAGAGACCCATAGACTCACACAGAGACCCATAGACTCACACAGAGACCCATAGACTCACACAGAGACCCATAGACTCACACAGAGACCCATAGACTCACACAGAGACCCATAGACTCACACAGAGACCCATAGACTCACGCAGAGATCCATAGACTCACACAGAGACCCATAGACTCACACAGAGACCCACAGACTCACGCAGAGACCCACAGACTCACACAGAGACCCACAGACTCACGCAGAGACCCATAGACTCACGCAGAGACCCACAGACTCACACAGAGACCCATAGACTCACACAGAGACCCATAGACTCACACAGAGACCCATAGACTCACACAGAGACCCATAGACTCGCGTAGAGACCCATAGACTCACACAGAGACCCATAGACTCGCGTAGAGACCCATAGACTCGCACAGAGACCCATAGACTCGCGTAGAGACCCATAGACTCGCGTAGAGACCCATAGACTCACACAGAGACCCATAGACTCACACAGAGACCCATAGACTCACACAGAGACCCATAGACTCACACAGAGACCCATAGACTCACACAGAGACCCATAGACTCACACAGAGACCCATAGACTCACGCAGAGATCCATAGACTCACACAGAGACCCATAGACTCACACAGAGACCCACAGACTCACGCAGAGACCCACAGACTCACACAGAGACCCACAGACTCACGCAGAGACCCATAGACTCACGCAGAGACCCATAGACTCACGCAGAGACCCACAGACTCACACAGAGACGCATAGACTCACGCAGAGACCTATAGACTCACGCAGAGACCCACAGACTCACACAGAGACCCATAGACTCACACAGAGACCCATAGACTCGCGCAGAGACCCACAGATTCACGCAGAGACCCATAGACTCACGTCGAGACCCATAGACTCGCACAGAGACCCATAGACTCACACAGAGACCCATAGACTCACGCAGAGACCCATAGACTCACGCAGAGACCCACAGACTCACACAGAGACCCATAGACTCACACAGAGACTCATAGACTCACACAGAGACCCATAGACTCACGCAGAGACCCATAGACTCACGCAGAGACCCACAGACTCACACAGAGACACATAGACTCACACCGAGACCCATTGACTCACACAGAGAGACCCCTAGAGACCTTCTGTTATTGCTGCTGCTGCTGTTGTTGTTGTTCTTGCTGCTGTTGCTGTTGTTGCTGTTGTTGCTGTTGTTGCTGTTGTTGCTGCTGTTGCTGCTGCTGTTCTTGTTGTTCTTGCTGCTGTTGCAGCTGTTGCTGCTGCTGTTGTTGTTGTTGCTGTTGTTGTTGCTGCTGTTGCTGTTGTTACTACTCTTGCTGTCGTTGTTGCTGCTGCTGCTCGTGCTGATACTGCTGCTGTTGCTTCTCTTGTTGCTGCTGTTGCCGCTGCTACTATTCTTGCTGCTGTTGTTGTTGCTGCTGTTGTTGCTTCTGCTGTTGTTGCTGCTGTGGCTGCTGCTGTTGCTGCTGTTGTTGCTGCTGTTGCTGCTGCTGCTGTTGTTGTTGTTGTTGCTGCTGTTGCTGCTGCTGCTGTTGCTGCTGTTGTTGTTGCTGCTGCTGTTGCTGCTGCTGCTACTACTCTTGTTGCTGCTACTTTGGCTGTTGCTGCTGCTGCTACTACTCTTGCTGTTGTTGCTGTTGCTGCTGCTGTTGTTGCTGTTGCTGCTACTACTCTTGCTGCTGCTGTTGATGCTGCTGCTGTTGATGCTGCTGCTGTTGCTGCTGCTACTACTCTTGCTGCTGCTGTTGCTGCTGCTACTACTCTTGCTGCTGCTGTTGATGCTGCTGCTGTTGCTGCTGCTACTACTCTTGCTGCTGCTGTTGCTGCTGCTACTACTCCTGCTGCTGCTGCTGTTGCTGCTGCTGCTACTACTCTTTCTGCTGTTGCTGCTGCGAGGATGACCACCGGAGTTTGCGCGACACGGGGTTTCACGCTCCTTGACGGAGATCGTCAGCGAGGCGTCGTGGTCCGTGTGCGTCGACGACGACGACCTCACCTTGTCGTCGTTGTGCGTGTGTGTGCAGGTGATAGCGGCCCGCTTGCTGCAGTCCAAGCAGACCATCCCGCACTACTACCTGTCCGTGGACGTGACGATGGACGAGGTGATCGGCTTGCGCAAGGAGCTGAACGAGGTGAGGAGGCCGTCCGTGTCGAGCTCACGAGTTCGCGTCGTCCGTGTCAATGTGACGACCCGCTCGCACGCTCACTCGCACGCCCGCTCACTCGCACGCACACTCGCACGCTCACTCGCACGCTCACTCGCCCGCTCACTCGCACGCTCACTCGCCCGCTCACTCGCACGCTCACTCGCACGCTCACTCGCACGCTCACTCGCCCGCTCACTCGCACGCTCACTCGCCCGCTCACTCGCACGCTCACTCGCCCGCTCACTCGCACGCTCAATCGCACGCTCACTCGCCCGCTCACTCGCACGCTCACTCGCCCGCTCACTCGCACGCTCACTCGCCCGCTCACTCGCACGCTCACTCGCCCGCTCACTCGCACGCTCACTCGCCCGCTCACTCGCACGCTCACTCGCCCGCTCACTCGCCCGCTCACTCGCACGCTCACTCGCCCGCTCACTCGCCCGCTCACTCGCCCGCTCACTCGCCCGCTCACTCGCCCGCTCACTCGCACGCTCACTCGCCCGCTCACTCGCCCGCTCACTCGCACGCTCACTCGCCCGCTCACTCGCCCGCTCACTCGCACGCTCACTCGCCCGCTCACTCGCACGCTCACTCGCCCGCTCACTCGCGCTCATCGCCGCTCACTCGCCCGCTCACTCGCCGCTCACTCGCCCGCTCACCGCCCGCTCACTCGCACGCTCACTCGCGCCGCTCACTCGCCGCTCACTCGAGCTCACTCGCCCGCTCACTCGCGCGCTCACTCGCCCGCTCACTCGCGCGTCACTCGCCCGCTCACTCGCGCTCACTCGCCCGCTCACTCGCGCTCACTCGCCCGCTCACTCGCCCGCTCACTCGCGCGCTCACTCGCGCGCTCACTCGCCCGCTCACTCGCCCGCTCACTCGCCCGCTCACTCGCGCGCTCACTCGCGCGCTCACTCGCCCGCTCACTCGCGCGCTCACTCGCCCGCTCACTCGCCCGCTCACTCGCCCGCTCACTCGCCCGCTCACTCGCGCGCTCACTCGCCCGCTCACTCGCCCGCTCACTCGCCGCTCACTCGCGCGCTCACTCGCACGCTCACTCGCGCGCTCACTCGCCCGCTCACTCGCCCGCTCACTCGCCCGCTCACACGCCCGCTCACTCGCCCGCTCACACGCCCGCTCACTCGCCCGCTCACTCGCACGCTCACTCGCACGCTCACTCGCCCGCTCACTCGCACGCTCGCTCTCACGCTCGCTCGCCCGCTCGCTCGCCCGCTCGCTCTCTCGCTCACTCGCACGCTCACTCGCACGCTCACTCGCCCGCTCACTCGCCCGCTCACTCGCCCGCTCACTCGCCCGCTCACTCGCACGCTCACTCGCGCGCTCACTCGCGCGCTCACTCGCCCGCTCACTCGCGCGCTCACTCGCCCGCTCACTCGCGCGCTCACTCGCACGCTCACTCGCACGCTCACTCGCCCGCTCACTCGCACGCTCACTCGTCCGCTCCCTCGCACGCTCACTCGCACGCTCACTCGCACGCTCACTCGCACGCTCACTCGCACGCTCAAACATTCACTCAACCCTTACTAGTTGGCTGTGTCGGGTGGTGGCGGGTTTTAACGACACATTTAGATATTTACGCGATCCAACCCAAAAAACCTCTTATGGATGATATTGTTAGCGAAAGCTTACGTGTTAAATTCACTCATCCACTTACTCACACACTCAACCACCCACCCACTCACCCATCCACTCACACACTCACCCACCCACATATTCACCCACCCACTCACCCGCCCACTAACCCACCCACTGAGCCACCCTTCCACCCACTGAGCTACCCTCTCACCCACTGACCCACCCACCCATCCACCCACCCACTAACCCACCCACGCCCTCACTCACCCACCCACCCACACACTCATACATCCACACACTCATACACCCACACACTCATACACCCACACACTCACCCACACACTCACCCACTCAACAATACACCCACTCACCCACCCACGCACTCACCCACCCACCCACTCACCCACCCACCCACTCACCCACCCACCCACTCACCCACCCACTCACCCACTCAACAATCCACTCACCCATCCACACACACACTCACCTACTCACCCACCCACTCACCCATCCACTCACCCACCCACCCACTCACCCACTCAACAATCCACTCACCTACTCACCCACCCACTTACCCATCCACTCACACATTCACTCATCCACCCACCCACACACTCACCCATCCACACACTCACCCACTCACCCGCACGCCCTCTCACTCACCCACTCATCACACTGCAGGTCTCTCCGCTTCTCCCAGCACACCGCTCCACTTTGTACTTCCCTCCCACCACCGCCGCCATCGCCCCTTCCTGCCCAAACAAACGTCACTCTCTCCCGACTCAACAAACACATTCGCCACGACAGCTTCGACTGGCGCTGTTTGTTGCCGGTCGCTCGGCGTTTTTTTGGGGGCCAGTGGGGACCCGCGCTGAAGGGAGTGTTCCAAGGTGTGCCGTGCCGTGGTGTGGCGTGCCGTGGTGTGGTGTCGTGTGGCGTTGTGTGGTGTGCCGTGGTGTAGTGTGGTGTGGTGTGTGGTGTGTCGTGCCGTGTTGTGGTGTGGTGTGGCGTGGTGTCGTGTGGCGTTGTGTGGTGTGTGGTGTAGTGTGGTGTGGTGTGTGGTGTGTCGTGCCGTGTTGTGGTGTGTCGTGCCATGCCGTGGCATGGCGTGCCGGGGTGTGGTGTGCCGTGCCGTGCCGTGGTGTGGTGTGGTGTGGCATGGTGTGCCGTGCCGTGCCGTGCCGTGACCAGGCAATGTGTGGGCTCCGCCGCAGATCGTCAAGGAGGAGAAGATCAAGCTGTCCGTCAACGACTTCATCATCAAGGCGACGGCGCTCGCCTGCCTCAAGGTTCCAGAGGCCAACTCCTCCTGGATGGACTCCGTCATCCGGCAGTGAGACCTCACCCCCGAACACTCACCACGAGCACTCAC